TTCAATAGGTGGATAAAAATGCCAAAACCAGTCTAAACATCTGGCTGACTGTGTGACCAACAATAATATATTCTCAGACCCTATCTTAATAATTCTTAGGTCCTTGGTCAGGACTTGAACTATTAAGTTTTCACCAGTCTTAACTGCAGATTACATAATAATGATAATTATAAGAATAAATAATAATTGGATAAAAATGCCAAATCCAGTCTAAACATCTGGTTGACTGTGCAGCCAACAATAATAATAGACAAAGATTTTCTGAGGGCCTTGGGGGAATGAATTGTCATCACCACCTGTGTATACTGCATGATAGTAGATTTGTGTTTTTAGCCTGATTTTAGCTTTTTTACTGTTCCATGTTTTTTTATTATATAAATCATTGCAATAATTTTGAGTCCAACAATATGAATATAAAAGCATAATAAATACATCCATAAGCAAGCAAGCAAGCACCTGGATTGTCTCCTGAAATATTTAATTATGCCAGACGCTTCCATGACCTTAAGTCCATATCATCAGAAGCCAGGGTAATAGAAAACTGTCAGTTATTTATGTTTTCTCCTCTGCTGCTCTCACACAGATATTTGCCCACTTAGCCTACTCACCCTCCACAGTTGGTATGTGTTCTGTAATCACCACGCGCAATTCTCTCTTCTGTGCAGGAGTTATATCCCTTATTTGGTTGAGCTGAACCACCATGCTGATTGCAGTTCCTCTGTCAATAGAGAAGTATATTATTTGCTTGTTGACAAATGGAGGCCATGAGAGTGAAGATGAGATCATATTTTGTCCTCTGAGACAGATGACTTTAGAAGTGTTTTGTTATTTCACCAATGGTGAAATTGCAGTATTCAAAAATCCAGAATTCTAAATCAGCAATATTTGAATCCTCCAGCTGCTCTTTTATGTAAAGTTCATCTCTTGCTTAGACTACTGGTAGTTCTTGGAAACTTTTGGAGCTATACCTCTTGTGCTCTTGGCTCAGGATGTAACCGTCCAGTCACAGGCTACATAGTTGCTTGAAGGCTCTCACATGGACAGCCAGGGCCCTGAATAAAAGACCATATGCAGTCGTCCCCAGGTCGGGCATTCCCATCATAGTCATCAGCAACCATGGAAGGAGATCATTAATATATATGAAAATATTTCAATTTTGACCATGACTCACAATTCAAGAATATGAAAAATAAATTTTATACCTGTCAATGTGACCATCTAATAGAATTGGTACTATGGGATAGCCAGCATATCTTGGTTTTATATATGCAAGAATCTGTTCTCCATAAACAGTATTTCTAAGCATATTCTAAATAAGTGTCAAGGGTAGACACTCCTGGGTGGTGCAAATAAACCTGATTGCAGTTGTTATGAAATCCTTGAGAAATGTCTAGAGCAATCTATGTAATTAGGAAAGAGCTTGGTGGAAAACAAAAGCAAAGAAATAAAGCCAGACAAGATGAAGAACGAGCCAAAAAACAGGGGGCGGGGGACTTCTCATCCTGATATAGTTAATGTAATGAGAGGTTGGATATAAACATTACTGGATCACAAACGAATCTGCAAAAATTGTTGAATCCTATGGGCAGGAGGCCACATTCTAAACTGAATGGAAATGTCCTCTGCTTTAACGTGTTAATACAAGTTTCCTGTCTAAATCTGCAATACGATCTATATAAGGCTTATTGTGGAATAATGGATCAAGGCTTCTTAAGAGAGAAAGTCATGAGAAACAAGAGAATAATACGTTGACACAATGCAACGTTGTGTCCTGAAATGGAGATCATTGTGCCCTAAGAAGCTTGAATGCCCTATGATTTAAGCATTTCAAAATAAGGGTGCAGGACATTTGGAAAGAAGACTCACTACACCACAGAAAAGACTTAATAGAGTTGGAATGGTGAAAAGAACTAACAAAAATGATAAAGGGTTGGAAGTAACTGTCCTGTTAGGCAAGTATATCAGGTTTGGGGGCTTACCAGTTTGGAAAAAAAAAATCAAAGGCAATGTAATAAAATTCCATAAAATTATGCACAATATGGAGAAATTGAACAAACATTAGGGCTGTATAGACATCTGGATTCAAAGGGGAAATGGTGATTGAGAGTGTACAGTCACACCTGTTGACCGCTCCTTACACCAAACACATATGTTCCTGGAACTGTTGGCTAACTGATAGTAATCCTCTTCTGCTCTAACGGTACCTATGGTCATCTAATGAAGTTAAATTATTGCAGATTCAGATCAGACAAAAAAAGTACTTTGTTATCTAGCACACATGGCATGAACTGCAGAAACAGCTAGCATAACATGTAGCAGTGGCTGCCAATTTAAACAGGGAAATGAGTCCAGTTCATGGAGTATGTTATCAAAGGTTGCTAGTCATGATAGCTATCTATTCCCTTAAGTATCAAAAGCAGCATGCTTTTGATTGCCAGTTGTTGGGAAAGATGAGGAAGAAATTGTGTTCACTCATACCCTGCTCGTGGCTTTTGCAGAGGCAGGGGGTTATCCGATGGGGAAAAATGTGCAATATATAAAATATGCAATTATTTTGTACCACCAGAATGGCCAGTAGAAACAAGAGATACAAGACCAAGTTAAAATCATTGTCCTTCTTTTTAATAGAGAGGCACAGTATTTGGCTGACAATGTTGTCTGGTGGAACTCTGATTCATTAATTTTCTAATCTGCAATGTTAGAAGCTGAAATTGACAATACTGTTGGTAATTCTTTTATACAGATAGTAAATACACAAGGAAAGGGTGTGGAGACTGAAGATACATAATGCATATAATAGTAATAACATTTCCCCAGCTGGTCCCTGACCCAGATCTGGGCCTTCCTCTAGAAAGAATGGGTGAGATACACAAAGTTGCCTTTAGATATCACTTGGAAGACTCACAGCTTTCTTGTTTGAGCTCCAAGTCGTGGAAGCTCCACAGCGCAGTCCTGTTCACGTTCACTCAATTTCCTGAGCTTGGTAGGATTGTTTCACTAGCAAGAATACTTCTGGATGTCACCAGTAAAGTTAGATTTTATCAACTCATGAATGTACCAATACAGGCTTGATCAAAGCCAGGATAGGCATCCACTTTGTTAATATAACTACAATCAAAGCTCCAAAGAAAGAAATGGCTATCATAAAGAAATACATTTGTTTTAACATTGTCAGCTGCCCTCAGCAGTGAAGATCCTGTTCAATACACTAGTATTATCAAGTTGCTCTCAGCATGAGGGAAAAAAGTTTGTGTCAGAGCTCAGTCTAATAGGAACAACATACTGATGCATGATGCTGAGAGCTCTTATTTGAGACTCCATGACCCAAAACCTTATTTCATCTCTTTACAATTTCACACCAGAGCTCTGATGATCCTTCAAGGAAATAGGGTTCCCTGCATCTATTGCTTAGTACCAGCGCAGGGAAAAGAGAAATTGGACACCTTCCAAGTGTTAAACTTAATACTGTATAGAGATGTGTTTGATGAGTAACTAGCAATATCCAGCACAGAGTTCACAAAAATCTTCTCTGGCTGCCTGCTGATCATCTCTACCTCACAAGCCCCTGTTTTCCATGGACTGAATGGAATTTATTAACCAAATGCCTCTTTTAAAAATCTATATTTATTGCAGCTATCTCAAGTTGACAATGAAAGGTAGTTGAAAAACCAGCTTGTATTCAAAATACTTCAGATCTGACAAGCTGAATTTAAAGGTAATAGGTAAAGAGCCAAAAAAGAAATGAAATCTAAATTGCTAGAGCAAATCTCTGAGATCAAAATAGGTAAGAACCTTCTGTGTTAATCATTGCAATAAGTGTTCAGTAAAATTACATCATTTGCATCATTGCAGGATGACATCAAAATGCATGTGAAGTCACTGGCTCTCCTTTGCCCCCC